GTCTTTAATAACTCGTGATTCGCCTGTGCGACTCAAAAGAATAAAGAAAGATTTCTGTTTATCCTATACAGAAGCGAGGTAGGAAGGACTGTCTACCGGATCTTTGCGTCTCCGACATGACAGGCGGAAAATGTACTCGTGGCTTTCATCTACAAGCAAAAAACTCCGAAATTCCTGTAATTTGTTTTCAATTAGTCCTTCAATGAAGTCTATGGAGTGCGACTAAGTCGGGCTCATTCTGGGGAAGAGGTTTCCTTCCTAAACAGAAGACCACCTTCATCAGTGAAAAGAGGGTCAATGGTGATAGTTGTGGTGTTTGTAACGAAAGTGGTGTGACATGGCTTAGTGTGGTGTGTTACGGCTGTAGTGTATAGTGTGGTGTATAGTGTAGTGTAGTGTAGTGTATAGTGTGGTGTATAGTGTAGTGTAGTGTATAGTCTTACAGTGTGGTGTATAGTATAGTGTAGTGTATAGTGTGGTGTATAGTGTGGTGTAGTGTAGTGTATAGTGTGGTTTAGTGTGGTGTGTTACGGCTGTAGTGTATAGTGTGGTGTATAGTGTAGTGTAGTGTATAGTGTGGTATATAGTATGTAGTGTAGTGTATAGTGTGGTGTATAGTATGTAGTGTAGTGTATAGTGTGGTTTAGTGTGGTTCATTGCAGTTGTAGTGTGTGTGGTGTTGTATGGTGTATTACCATGATTATCTGATAGAAAACACATATAAAGCAATTAGCATTATCCTTGAAAACTATCCTACGAGCAGAGGGTTTTGATAAGTGAGTGGAATCTTTCAAAAACTCATTTGGCTGAGAACTAATGGTTGGAATGTATTGTCTTGTAGATTATAGTTCAGTTATAGTCTTGATTAACCAGGTTCTTACTGGTAGGTCTGTATAGCAATGACAATGACAATTATTGACCTGTATTTCACTTCAAAATGGTGACAATCTTCTTGACGTGTAGTTTTCACTCAAGTCGCGCGCAACAAGTGTATTTTAACAACAAAGACGAAGTGGGGGATTGACACTTACTTGGAATAACTATTCTTTTAGAAAAATTCCTATTTATGATAAGGGGGTTCTAAAAAGTCACTTCTATTTTTATTTTTGTTTAATGAGGGCCTCTAGGGAACTGAGGGAAAAAATGACTTTGCTAATATATCACCCACCCCTCCCATAAATTACGAATGATCCCTTATATTTGAATTAACAAAGCCAAAAATGTAATTAATGTACAACAAGATGGTCGGGACGTAATCAACATTATTACAACCCGTTTAGACAAAGTGGAATTTCAAATAAAATAAWTAAAAACGTTGCATRAGATTACATGTTTATTAACACAATAAATTCTAAATTATCATCTCTRTCGAGATGCGCGTTTTGACTGGTTTGCAGTGGTTATAGATAATCTATTGRTAACCATGACGACGGGTCTTTAATGTTGACTGTTTTTGGTGTTTCTGGTGGAGTTGTCCAAAAACGCAGATTGCAAACTCACAAGTATGCCAGTCTGTTGCAAAAGTGGCATTGCATAACACTCGTCACGTGACTGTCTTGAATCTTTCAATCCTCTGGGATTGTGACCAATGCGGTTTCTTGATCTAATAAATCATACAGAATATGAAGACACCAAGTAAGTAAAACTTTAGATATGATAATGACCTACCTTTTTTTGCTGACATAAACAATTATGATCAAGCAAAGCAAGACAAGAAACATCCCTACAAACATCAAAATCCACTCCACCTTGTCAAGACCACTTGAGTCTGTCATTGATGGAGATGTTGAATTTACTGGTACTGWACTTGAATGGGTAGACACTGGAGTACTGGGTAACAGAAATTGTACACTGCTGGTTAAAGTCATTCTAGTGACACCAGCCAATGTTGTGAGAGTAGCTGCCCTTGAAGGAGATAAGAGTGTAACGGACTTTGCTTCACAGCTTGTTGACATTAGAAGAGAACTGCAAGACGCATTCTTTAATAGAC